TATGGTAGCTGCATTTTTAGTTTTTTTGAGGAAGTTTTACACTGTTTTCTATAGTGGCTGCACTAACTCACATTCCCTCAGGAGTGTAAGCATTCATTACTTTATATATTATTGATGATAGCCATCCTAAGTAGAGTGCAATTGAATCTCAGTGTAAATTTGCATTTTCCCTACTGTCTAAAGGTGTTGAACATATATGTATTGGCCATTTGTAATTCTTTTGAGAAGTGTCTCTTCCATTCCTTTGCCTATTTGTTGATTGAAACACAAGAGGTTTGTGGTGTTAAGATTTTTTAAGGTTCTTTGTATATTGTGAATATTAATTCTCTGTTGAAAGAGTAGCTGACAAAACCTTTCTTGCAGTCTGTAGGCTATGTCTACATTCTCTTTTCCTTTCTTGTGCAGAAACTTTTAATTTGATGCTTTCCTGAGCTGGTGGAGTTGTATTCAGGAAATCTTTCCCTGTGTCTGTGCTTCTTCTAGTACTTTCAAAGTTCTGGGTCTTATACCTAGATATTTGGTTTATTGTCAATTTGTTTTTGTACAAGGCGAGAGATAGGGATCTAGTTTTATTTTTTTACATATGGATGTTCTGTTTTCCCAACACCTTTTCTTATATAAGCTATTTTTTCTTCAACAAATATTTTTGGCCCCATTGTGCTTCTCCATCAGTTGTGATGTTGCCCATGGCTTTTATGTACAGTGGACCCTTGACTTATGAACTCGATCAGTTCCCAAGGGCTGGTTATAACTCAAGTTGGTTGCAAGTGAATACAGCTCAAATATGAATGTTTACCTGGGTACATACTATAGATAACAAGAGGCAGATGAATCTTCCATTAACCTAATTAACCCAAGTTGTTTGTATGTTAGGTTAGTCATAACTTGAGGGTCCACTGTATTTAGTCTTTTTAGTCTTTATGTGGTATGATCGTTCAATACATAGTTTCTTTGGGGCTTTTATCATGAGGCTATTTAAAATTTATAGATTTTTACTAGGTGAATGCAGAGAATCATGTGATTTTTATCCTTGATTCTATTATGTGGTGTGTAAAATTTATTGATTGGTGTAAATTGAACCATTCTTGCATCCATGGAATGAAAACAACTTGACCATAGTGTATGATGTGTTTAATATGTTGTTGAGGGCCCAGGGATTTAGCTCAGTGGTGCCACTGCCTGCCTCCCAAGTGCAAGGTTCCAAGTTCAATGCCCAGTTCCCCCCCCAAAAAAAAAATTATGTTGAATTCAGTTTGCAAGTATTTTATTAAGGAGGTTTACAGCTATGTTCATGAAGAAATTGGTGAATAGTATTCTTTTTTCTTTTGGTATCAGTGATAGTATTGATTCGGACGTTTCCTTCCCTTTCCATTTCATAGAATCATGTGAAAAGCACTGTTGTTAGTTCTTCTTTACTAGTTCAATCACTATTATCCATAAATTCCTGTGTACTTGGGGTTTTAGTTTGTAGAAAACTTTGTATTATTGCTTTAGTCTCAGTGATTGTGATGGGTTTTTTGTGTCTGTTTTGTTTAATGTTGGTATCTTGTACATGTCTAGAAGTTCCTTTTTTCTGGGTGCTACACTTTATTAGAATATAGGTTTTGAAAATGGGCACTAATGATCATCTGGCTTTCTCTGGTATATGTTTTCTCACCTCCTTTTTCTTTTCTAATTGTACTGATTTAGGAATTTTCTCTCTTATTCAGGTTTTTTTGGATAGGAGGCAATTTTTTGTTTTATCGATTCTTTGCAGTGTTCTGGTAGTCTGTATTTTATTAATTTTAGTTCTGATATTTATTATTTCTTTCTTTGTATTGGTTTTGGTTTTCAGTTGTTCTTGTTTTTCTCAGGTCTTGAGATACATCATTAGGCGACTTACTTGAGATCTCTGAGTTTTCTTTTTGTTTTAATATTTTGAGACAGAGTCTCACTAATGTAGTTCAGGGTCACCTTGAACTCAAGGTGATCCTCCTGCCACAGCCTCCCAAGTGCTGGGATTACAGGCATGCCCCACCATGCCCAGCTTCTGATTTTTTGATGTAGGAACTCCTAGCTATACATTTCTAACTTTGATTTGTCTTCGCTGTACCCCACAGGTTCTGGTGCATTCTCTTTTCATTTTCTTCTCATTGTAGGCTGGTTGCTGAACTCTTGAAGTAGGGATTGGGAGCAAGGGATTTTGAGCACACCCACAGGGAGGTCCTGAGGTGACTGTGGTGGCTTCATGTAGACGCTGAGGTCTGCATGGTCCCTGTCCCTTTAAGATGAGATAGAATGTTTGCCCTTTGTCCTGGGTCACTAGGGAACCCACAGGAGAGGAGGAGTCTGTTGGAGCCAGGCAGGGGCAGAGGTAAGAGGTGGCTCTGCTCAGGAGCTCGGGCTGTGGGGCCAGTGGTGGAAAAGAAACATTCTGGAAGTGGCTGGAAAGAGGGGTGTTGAGTGAGTGTTCAGACTAGAGCTGTTGTAGGGGGCCTGGGAGGACAAGTGTCCCTCCATACACGGAGGTGACCAGTACACCATAGGTCAGTTATCATGAACACGGGCTTTCTGAACTCATCAGATCTTCATTGAGTGATGAAATAGCCACAGTATTAAGACTTTTTAAGTCACTCTGAACATCACTTTGTCACCTGTGCTTTCTAAATGTGACCCTGTGTCCAGTGCCCATGTTGGGCTTCACTGAGCTGAGTCCCCTCACAAGCAGACTCATCACCGGGAAGAAACTGCTGCCCATTACTGATCCTTCAGGCCAGCCTATGGGAGCCACCACCTGGACCCCCAGGCTAACGAGCCTGCCGCTGGCCCTGGGCTGACCAGGTCCCCTCTCAAGTGCACCAGGCGTGTCTGCCATTGTCCCGAGTCCTGAAAAGACCCTGTGGGCCATTCCCAGACCTGGATATGTGTATCCATCACTGGAATAATGGAGAACTTGGAAAGTTTGGTGCCTCCCTTTTATTTTTCACTGTTGGTGTTGCCTAAGATCAGTAGCAGGTCTTTCTGTCCCTGCAGGAGCTCTCCACAGGAAAACCTCTGTTCTCTCGCTCATGAGTGGTGACTGACTGTGGAGAGCTGAGGCTTTGCCATTGCAGGCACCAAGTGGCTTCTTCATCTGGTTTGTGTGGTTTTCATGGTTCCAGGACCCGTTATCCATGTTCAGTGCTGGGGCAGGTAAAGTGCAGTCCTGTGAAATAGCAGCAATGTGTCAATGTGATTTATTTGTATTTCCTACCTCCAGAGTCACATTCTTTGTAAAGAAACAGACCCAAGTAGCCTTCCTGGTCATTTGAAATGTCATAAACATTACCCCAAGGTGATTACTTGAATGTCTAATCCTCTCTTCCCAATTCGATTCCCTGGTTTCCCCCACTGGCTGTATTATCAGTGTTCACACTGTATATTGTGCGTTCTCTCGCTGGTGATGGCATGGTGTAGAAGAGGATTCTTCTGCAGAAAGCCATTCCATTGGCAGCTGGTACTCAGTGAGCTTCCTGATGTCGTGGGGGTGTGGGCACTGCGCCTGCCCCGGGCCATCTTGGTGAAGTCTGGTGCGGCCCCTCTAACTGCACTCGAGAAGAAGTTCAGTGCTCTGTGCAGAACAGGACTTGAGCCTCTTCCAGCTTCTATCAGATTTGGCCCCTCTGGGGTGGGGTGTGATTTGGGTAGAACATGTGGTTAGTGTGCTCCAGGCCCTGGGTGCGATTTCCAATTTTTAAAAAGGAAAAAGTGTGCTACAAATTCATTGGTTTCCATGAGTGGAGGAAGTTCTCCTCACAAGACTTTCTGGTGAGGATGAGGTAGTAACTGTGACTGCTGTTCTGTGGGCTGTGCTCTGTATAAGTCCCCAGTCTTGGCTTTTCCCAGAGTGGACATGAACAAGCTCTCCTGGGGGATAGCAGCTCAGTGTCACTGACAGAGCCCGCTGTGCACCCTGCTGAGGGCTGCACATGGGTCCTCAGCCCCAGAGCCTGCACTATGCCTCCTTAGCTGAGCTGTGTCCTTCCAGTGGTGGAGTCCCCTGAAGTGACCCAGTGGTGGCCTCCTGATTCCCATAGCTCCTGACTGGCCCCAGTGTGGGTCGAGGTTACACAGTTTAGAGGTCGCTCTCCTGCTCCATCTCTTACTGAAGGATGGAATGCACTCGGGAGAAAAAAATGGATGCTATTAACTTTTAGCTTTATGTATTTTGCATTTTTAGGGTTTCATTTTCTACAGTCCTTCCCCTAGGATGGAGCATGGAGTAAAATCAGAAACATAATTAGCCTCAATGTGTGATTAATACCTGGGTAGCATACAAAACAATTGTCCAGGTATGTACCATTTTCTTCCAGTTTTGTCATTTTAACTAAGAAGTAAAGTTTGGCATGCACCCTTTAGTGTTGTAGAAAGGAAGTGAAACAGACCAGGAGTAGAGGCTGAAGCCATGGCCACATCTGAGTGCAGTGGACCAAAACAAGGCCCATTTTCATGTCACAGAGCATAGTCAGCATTGGCTGTCCCCTCCCTTGATGGCCTGAGGCGATGTCTACAATGGGCCACCAGTGTCTGTTGTATGGACCCTGAGAGCATGTGTCTGAGCTCGGCTCCACAGCCTGGGGGCCCTGGACAGTCTTTTCACAGCAGGCATAGAGGTGGCACAGCACTGGACACCCTGCTCCACATCAAGTGCCATCTGAAGGCAGGCTTCTAGGCAACACCTGGGCGTCAGCCAGCCTCAAGGTGGCAGTCGTGTCCTCACCCTGCTTGGCTTGCTGCTTCCTTCGTTACTTCTTCCCTTAAGTAGGCCAGGCAGGTCCTAAGCATGTAAGCCGGGACACTGTACATGGCATTGGAGGCTGCAGAGTTTTCTGCTGAACATTTGCTGTATACTGAAGTTCCCGAGTCCCCTAGAGTCATCTCAACCACAGCTTAGGAGAGGAGGTCAGAAGCCTGTAGTTTATGGACAGCTGTACCTTTGTGAGAAGGAGCCTGTTTTATTTCAGTGCCCTTCATATTTCCCTCAAGTGGGTGCCTGCTCCTGTGCTGGAGGAGGCTCTCAGGGGTCTGTGGTCACAGTATGATTGCCTTTTACACAGGGATGGAGGACCCCGGGGACCAGAGCAATGTGGATGCACCTGAGGCCCTCAGTCCCATGAGGAAAGAGTTCAGGAGGACCTGGGGCATCCGAAGGACCATGATCACACAGTGGGAGGGCTCTGGGGACACCGAGGTGGACCTTGACTGGCAGCAGCCACTCAACCCCTCCCTGCAACTTCACAGGAGGTGGCCAAAGCACCCCCAGCAGGTCAGAGAGCCCCAGAGCACAGGCTGGTGGCATGGAGGGAACCATGTGGCTGTGTCCCTGGAGGGTTCCCGAGAGCCAGCATCCTGCCCAGGGTCTCCTGTGCACAGCGCCCTGGAAGGGCACAGTGAGAGCAGCTCTGAGAGGAAGAGTGGACCAGCACCTGGCTCTGAGTGTGTGAAACCTAGAGGCCGGGATGAGCAGGGTGACACTGCCGACAGTGACAGTGATAGCTTCACTGTGGAGGGACTTCAGAATCTCCTCCCAAGGAAGCCAGAGCAAGAACCAGCAGAAAGGGCCCCAAAGGGTGGCTGCAGTAACCCGCGGAAACCAACTTGGGAGGAGGAGCCCACCAAAGGCATGGAACTCCAGGCAGGCAGTGCCAGCTTCAAGGAGCCACCATGCAGGCAGGACCCCGAGGCTGCTCAAGGATCTGACTGAGTGTGTGAATTGGAGGCAGCAATGGTTCAGGGACCTGGAGACAAAGACCCCTGGGCCCTGGGCAAGCCTTGGCCTGAGTGTGAGGTTTCCAACCCTCTTCCGTATCTGCCACCAGCCTCATAGCAACAGGTGGGTCAAAGTCATGAGCGGGGGTTCTGCTCATGTTCACAAAAGCCCAAGCCTGCTAATGGGCAGGCAAGAGGATTTTCCCTTTGTTTGGAGGCTAACTGACTCCCCAGCTGGCCGGACTGGTAAGTAGTTGATTGGGAAAAGCTGCTCAGTCCCTGCATGAAGGGAAGACGCCGGAGTTCAGATGGCTGCCTGCCACCACCCTCTCCACACTGCTGCCACCAACCACATACCCTGCTGGCAGTGCCGGTCGGGTAGCAGACCACAGGGTCAGCTCATCATGCATGCGGGGCTGTGGTGTGGGCAGCAGGAGCGCGTCTGCTGTCCCAGGTCCCTAGGATGGGTGCTGTGGGCCCAGAGGCTCCAGTGTGCAGACCTGACTGCCCTTGGCCCTGCTAGGACTGGGGGCCTGGGCCAGGCTGGGTACCCTGGGGCCTGGTCGGAGATGCTGCTGTTGGTGCTGTTATGTTCAGATGCACATGGAAGCCACTGATCACTGTTAGAATTCTCTGGTGGAGAAAATGATGGCACACATGTGGTTGGGTGTGAATGCACAGGCAGAGGAAAGTGTGGGTCTGTCAGTCCTGTGCGCTCCACTCTGCCTCAGAACAGAGCATTAAAGGCAGCATGGCCTCTGAGCATGTTGGGAAGTGGTGGCCGCTGCTCCCCCATCCCGACTCCATCACTTTGTCCTCTCAGGTTGATGATCTGCCCTGACGGCTGTGAGGAGTGGTTCCATGTTGACTGTGTGGGGATTTTTGAGGCTCGGGGATGGCTCTTGGAGAGGAATGGGGCTGATCATGTTGACCTGAACTGCACCAACCTGCAAGCACAGGAGGAGAGGATGTCAGAAGCCACTGATGACCAGGAGCCTGGATGCAAATCCAGAGGTGCTGGCAACACACAGGACAAGAGCAGAGGGCCAGTGAGCTGAAGTACAGTGCCAACCAGGGGAGCAGGAGTGAAAGTGAGGAAACCTCAAGCCCCAGGGGCAAGGAGGCCATGAAGATGTCCACGCCTGTGAATATTTGTCTGCCCAGTTAGCATGCAGGGTGACCTTGCTGGCTGTGGACAGAAACACCAGACCCTGAGCTGTGCCCCCTTTGTGTAAGACTGGCTTTTGCTGGGTTGGACACTGTGCATGGCACAAGGTGGCCCACAAGGGAAGCAGCCTTCACTCAAATCTGTCTGAGCCTCTCAAGATCCCCACAAGAGTGTGAACTTAGGCAGAGACAGGGCAGCAAACCAACTCAGTGAGATCCTGTCTCAAAACAGAAAAGAGGAGGGGCTGGGGTTGAGGCTGGGGCTCAGTGCGAAGGTCCTGCACCCATATCTGAGCACTGCAGAAAATGAAGCAAATTCAGTCAGATATAGGAGGTTATTCTAACCATGGTGGCCATGCCTTTTACCAGGCTGGCTCAGAGTCTCCCGATGGGAAAGGTCCAGTCCCTCCTTAAGAACTTTCACCCTAAAAAAATAAATAAATAAATAAATAAATAAATAAATAAATAAAATAAAATAAAAAGAACTTTCACCTGATTCGGTCTGAACATTTTTGACTCCGCGTTATCTCACCAGAACCTGCCCGTGTGGTCCCAGGGACCCAGCTGTTGGCCCCTGGATGTCCTCAGCAGTGCTCAAGCTGAAGGGGAGGGAATATGAGAGTGTGTGCACTAGGGGCCACCTTAGGATCCTGCTTGGCACAAGCTGTCAGGGGTGGTTACACGGTGGGAACTCCTACAGCCAGCAGGGATTTGTGCAGTTTGCATGAACAAATTCACATCTAAAATACCATTAGAGTCTCTCAAAGACAGTGACTGTGATACTGTCCACAGCGCCTGGACAAGGTGTGTTTCCTGCAGGCATTAGCGCATCCATCGTGTGATGTCTCCTGTTGGCTTCTGCAGGTCACAGTGGCTCCTGGAACCATGCCCTGTGTGGGCCCTGGGTGCTTCAATGTGGCACAGCCTGACACAGTCTACTGCTGCAATGACTGCATTCTCAAGCACAGAGCAGCTGCTATGAGATTGCTCAGTGCACATAAAGAACACAAACCAAAGCTGAAGAAGAAGGTCAGGATGAAGCCAGAAAAGCTCCATCTCCCAAAACCTAGTGTTTAGGTGAGCTGACCCAGGTGACCCTGGGAACCTTTGCCACAAAAGTGTGTGTGACACTGTGTGTCTGATGTCCCTATGCTTATTTACTGAAGGAGTATAACACGGGCACAGCAGGTGTCCATGCTTTGCAGCTTGTATCTCCTTTACTTCTGTCTTCTGCCCTTGGCTCAGGCCTCAGCCTGAAAGCTGTGCTATGAGTCAGTGCAGGAAACTGGCCACCCCACAGGAACTAAGACACCAGGACACACAGATCCACCAGGGTGATCATAGCCACCCTTGTTTACTGTGTGCAAATTCAAATCCCAGGCATCCAGGGAGGGTAGGTTCTAGTCAGGACTCTGCTTCAAGACAGCTCTCAAAATTGTGTCATTTTTCAACTGTGTGTGATTTGGAAGAATCGGGGATGTTTAGCAATGAGAAGCTCTTGGGTTAGTCATGCATTATCCTGAGGCTCATCTGGAAATGACCATCAGTGGCTCGGTGCATGTGAACCATGCAGATCGTACCTCCCACTGCTCCCATGATCTCTAGTTCATTGTCTGTTGCTTGCTTCCCTTCAGACACCTTGACTTCAACGCTGCTCATTTTGACTCCCACAGCTGCTAAAGAACAGGTCTGGTAGACACAGTAAGGAGACAGCAGAGCTGAGAGTTCAAAGACCTTTCCTTAGCATCCAAAACTCCAGAGTTTCTGTTCAGAAGTAGAAATGGCGTTTGTCTCCTCCTTGCAAGTCCCATGCCTTCCCATTTGGGGCCAAGCACCTCCTGACACCTGCACTCAGTCCTTGCACTATGCCTTGATACTCTGCCTCACTTGTGTGGCTCACACTGTTCTGCTGTCCGCAGACTTGTGTCACTGCAGGTCAAACCTGGTTCCATCTCGGGACCTTCATGAGACCCAGAAACCTGAGGTCCTCCCATGAGGGAGGATGTGTGGGTCCATGAGGATGTGAGGGTCCCCTTAGTGTGCAGACTTAGCCACATGAGCAGCTGTGTACCAGTCAGGGATGGGTAGGAGTCTCAAGGTGACCTGAGGAGAAGAGTCATGACAGTAACTGTGTGCTAGGAGCAGAGGTGACATTTCTGACCTTAATCATTGGGCTCTCACTGACTCTCCAGACCGGGATGAAAATGTCCTCTGTGCACAAGAGGCCAGCTTCAGAGGAAGCTGAACCCCCAGCAAAGAAGGTGACTGTGACTCCTCCTTGGAGTGACTCCATGGGGAAGGCAGTGGCCGAAGAGAGCAGCATACACTCCTGGGCGCGAGACCACAAGTCCAGTGCAGTGATGCCAGAGAAGCCTGGGGCTCTCTTCACACCACACTGGGGCTAATGTAGGTGTCCCTCTGATGTGAGCCTCTGGCACCACCCACACTCTCTGGATAGCCACCAGGGTGACCGGGATGGGCAGTCGAGGCTCTTTCAGTGCAGTGGGCACTGATCACCATCAGCCCAGAGAAGATGCCTGTGCCTGGGGTCCTCCCGAGCCTGGCTGTCCTTCCCTAGGCTGTGGCCCTTCCTCCCAGTGTTTTCCAATGAGCTGCACAAGACTTGCTGCTAACAGCTCCCAGTGGTGCTGTTCTTTAGTGTCCAGCTGCATGCAGGGCTGGACTCTGGTGAGTGTCCAGAAAACTCGGGTTCTCCAGCGCCATAGCCAGACCCAGACTCACCACTGTTCAAACATCATTTTATCATGGCCCTGCATAGAACCTGAGCTTTTCCACGTTACTGCTTTGCCCAAATAATTGTCACTCCTGTGCCATGCTGCAGGCATCTCTGTGCAAATCAGTCTTGCCTCAGATAGCCTCAGTACCTTTTAGAAGTGCACAGAATTTGTGACCTGACACCAGATTCACACACTACACACCGCTTATGTAGACAGGAATATCTTGTAACCCTTGCTGCTACCCCCAGGCACCAGAGTGAGTGACGTGGCACCCTTGACAAGAGCAGTGTCCTCGCCGAGGGGAGAGGTGTGGGCTGGTGTCAGGGCCACTGGGCTGCCGGCTCCTCTGCAGTGTTGAGCCTATGACCCTGCCCAGGTTTCCATTGAGTGAAATGAGGACACTGCAGGTTGGTGTGTGAATCCCCTGCTGAGATCATGCACCTTGGATCTGTCCTTGTTTCTCTCTCAGGGTCCAAAGTCAAATCCTATATATTTGTATTAGGATGCACAGGGCACTTCTTATTCTCTTGTGAATCTGTTTTCAGATCAGGTTTTAATGCTTGCTCCCTCTCTCTAGTGCCATGGTGGCAAACTTAAGTGGGTTGTTTGTATCACGGACAGCTCTAAAAGGTTCGCCATCACTGCTGTAGTATATTTTGTCCCCTTTAAAAAGTGCCAGCAAGTAGTTCAATCCCAGGTACCAAAAAAAAAAAGTGCCAGCAGGTTGAGTAGTCCTGAATTCCAGCACCACATGCCATGTTACATTTGCCTTTTTCTCAGCCTGTTGCACGTTGCCTGGGGGCAGGGACTGATGCAGGTAGGTGCCAGATGTCACATGGTTAACAACTTAAAATCCCCAAAAGCTCAGGACTGGAAATGGAGTCACAAGGACTATAAATTGAATGAGCCAGCTTTGATGGATGTTAATATACCTTAGGTGGGTTACCCAGTGAATCTCATGCTAACAGATGTCATGTCACAAAAGTTCATCAGGATGGAGAAGCTCTCTGATAGCACTTCTGTGCAGGGATGAATACTGAGGAGTGAGTGCTGCTGTGTGAGAGTGCATAGAGGGCAGCTGCTTGCTAATCCAGGGCCAAAAGTTTTCAAGGTGGTGATCAGTGCATAACACTACAAGAAACACCAGGGGTTTTACCACAGCCAAAATACCCAAGTGATGGGCTTCAGGTGGGTTCACCCCCATCGCTGCCTGAGTGTGCAAAACCATAGCTGAAACTTCAGGGGTCCTTTAGGAGACCCTGCATGTGGGAGAGAGAGAAGGTTGGTGAGGAAGGTAGGAATGATGCATTCTACAATCACTGTGTCACTTCAAGGGGAACCATGGGATAAAAGGAGCTCACAGCAGCATAGAGAAAGCCTACCACTCTGCACCCAGGTGGGAGGTTTTTAGCTCTTGTGCACAGTGGTTCCTCATTGGTGCTCACAGTCTCCATTCCAGGAGGCTGGGACTAATGTACATGTGAACAGTTTTCCCAGCACACACACACATCTCTAAATTAAAATTTACAGGCATCCAGAGGACAGCATGAGTAAGGGACATACTTGGAGCAGTTGGCTTCTGGAGCTTTTCTGTTGTCCCAGAAGTTTCATCTTCCCAAATAATGATTGGGGGGATGGTAGGGAGATTGGTGAAGTGATACAAAGGGCAGAAGTACCGTGTCTCTGCCTCTCTGCTCCCCCCACACAGTTCCTCACTTTTGGGGTAGCAGGGCATGTTCCCCAGGACCTCGATGGGCAGCATGGCTCAGGCAGCACCCACAGCCCTGTCCCTGCCTCCCAGCTGCCCAAAGGCTCTCTTTACTGGGCAGGGCGGGGTGGTGAGGGTTAGCGGAAGCTAACTGCATCCAGTTCACTTGGGAGTTGATCCAGCTTCTGCTCCACATGTCTGCATGAGAAGACCTATGCAGCAGAGCAGCTACCATAACTGCTCATGGAGGGGCCTCATCTGTGTCTTGCACCAAAGTCCCTGGGGCCATGTGGATGCAGGTGAGCACATAGACCTCACTGCACAGGAAGCTCTGCTGCTCCTTCCCACTCACAGGTGTGGGACTCATGCACAGTGGTGCCTTGAGTCCCTTCTCTAACCCTGTCTACTAGGGTTTCTGTACAGGTTTATACTCATGGAAGCATTCAGCATTTGATTTCTCCTGAAGCTCACAATACCCATTTTTTTGGCTCTTACATCCTGATTCCTCCAAGATTTTTATGTCTACTGTGGTTCCCTTCCCTCAATTGGGAAAGCATGAAATGGGTCAAACATGGTTTTTGGAAAAAATTCCTGGTTTATTAGAATTTTCCAGTGAAATTCCATTACAGACTCATCCCCCAAGTGGGGATGTGATACATTAAAACTGGGAAGCGTTTGGTGTCACTATGGTGGTAAAAAGGGAAACTGGTACAGACTTTCAGGGCCAGGTCCTGGCAGTTTGCTGTGCCTCTTGCTCAGGGTGCAGCATTTGCTCGCAGTGCTCACAGGCCACACAGAGGGTCCACTGGTGTGGGGAACTGCAGTGCAGAGAGCACAGGTGTCCATGGGGAGCCCAGGTCATTGAAATCTTATGAGGAGCAAGCTCCCTGTAGTACAGTACTTTCACAGGGAAACTACAACCTGGGAATGTGAATACTGTAACCTAGAAATCTGAATCAAGATTGGAGGTCGTGTTTTACCAACTGGTAGAGCCATTTTTCTGTCTCTTCAGGAGTTACCTAAGCAAATATAGTCAGAGTGAGGAGAAACTAAATTTTTACATCCAAAATGATTTCCAATTAGAGGGAAAGAAAATTTGTACTGAAGGGATCAGGTTGGCAGGTGTTTCTATGTTACTTGTATTGCTGGATTTCCCTTGGGTGTCTACAGTGTCATTTTGTTATTTTTGAGGGTTGCCATACATTTAAAGAAAATAGCTTGCTATTCAGAAAACTAGGTCACATATCTGTGAACTTGAACGGGCCTGGTAAGCCCCTCTGTCACATGCTCAGTCTGTCCTGCAGCATCGCCTGTCTCCTGGGAGCAGGTGAGAGGGTGCTCTCACTGACTTTCTTGTACACTTTTGGAGCTGTGGGTCTGCTCTGTTATTCCCTGAAGATCAGTTCTCCAGGAAAACTGGATGCTATTGCCAATGTCACCTAGTGCATAGGTCCCCTCTGGAGATGCCGGCTGTAATTCCTCAGTGTCATAACCAAGCTTCAGGTATATTTGTATAAAGTTGTAGGATACTGAGGACTTGTTTTTGTTTTCTTTGTTACTTACACACAGGTAGTTATAGTTTTAGCTTCCAAAAGTTAGAGAAGCAAACATAAAAGAGAGATAAGAATGTTTGCTACTTTGTTTGTTTCAAGGTCATGCAAATTTCTCTTGCCATTGTGAAGGAAGAGTTTGGCTACACTGCTTTTCACCAGTTTGACTGAGTGTGAGGTGTCCTGGAGGAGGGAAGATGCTAGGCATGGGGTGGGGGACAGACAAGTCTGTCACTGGGTCCCATCCCCATTTGCATCCTCCAGTTAACATCGCAGTGATTGCATGGGTTCTACCTGACTGCCAGGGGAGGGCAGATTTTCTGCACTTTTTGTTCCTGTGGATACCACCTAATGACAAGTGATGGCATAGTAGTCTACACCCTCAACCTTCCATTGTGAGGAGGCCTCTGACTACTTGAGATGCTGATTCTGTGCTCAGCAGCCAGCTGTATTGGGCTCTACTCCAGATGATGGGATATCCTGGCAGATGGCCAGACCTGGCAGCATGAGTTTCCTCTGGGGCCATGGCCCAGGCTACTTGTGAGGCTTCCATTGTAGCTACTAAGTTTCAGGGCAGCGCTTTTCCTTCCCACAATCACCAAGGCAATGGGAGTGGAATGAGGCTGTGCTGGCACTGTGGCTCCTCTGCAAGTTCATGGCTCATGGTTGTGGGAACTGGAAAGTGTCCTTCTGTCTACAGTGCAGGCTGGTACACTGTGCCACTCAGACAGGGCAGGGACCAGCCACCCAGCAGATAGCTTGGCAGCAGGCCCTGAGGCTCAGACTGTTTTTCTTGAAACTTTTTTGGTGGTTACAGATTTTCCCTGTGTTTCTTTAAGTTTAGGCCTGAATATACAGTTAATAGTGAAACTGATATGGGGCTGAAGGTTAAGGCTCAGTCGGAGAGACCTTCCCTACCATGCACAAGTCACTGGGTTCAGTCCCCCACAACACAGAGCAATGAGGGAAAAACGAATCTGAAAGAGCACTATGCAAATTCATTTGAAGCTCCACTCAGAACTGGAAAGGTGTTTCTCACTGTCATTGAGGCCTCACACCAGCACTGTGGCTCTCACTCAAATAGGGGCAGAGGTGTGTGAAGACCCCTGTGTGGTTGCTGTGTAGAAGAATAAGTCTTGGTGTGTTTTAAACTCCTCCCTTCGAATAGAAGAGCGTTGGTTGTGTCTCATAGAGCAGATGAGTTGGGGGGAGCTATCTCTTGACACCCCCAGGTTTGACTCTTTTTACAAATAATTTGTGTATTCTCCTAATTATACCTGTTACTATTTGAAGCCCAAGCAAGAGATCACCAAGGTTGTGTTCAAAAGAGCAGAAACCAGTGGTTTGTGAACCCAGAGCCTGGTGGTTAGTGAGCCACACCCCACTGCTCAGCTACACATTCCCTCTGGAGTAATTGATGACCTTCATCATGTGTATGGACGTGCCATAGAAATACATTATTGACTTGAATTTGTCTGAATGAGAAGGGAATATAGTTAGACCAATAGAGGCTTCATGACAATTTGAGCATGTGATTATAAAGCTTCCCATTTCAGAGGTGAACATTATGGATTTCAAGCCTACATGTATTTGTGACCAGAAATGGAGTAAATGTTAACTGTTGCTCAAGATTTGCTTCAGGTCATATTGCACATGTGTATAGGGGTTTGCTTGAGACTTTCTGGAATAGTCTCAGGCCAGAGCTTCAGAGTTTAACAGCACGATATCAAAAATACTTAGTATAGAACCTCAGTGGATGTCCTGTTCCTGGGCACCCCCTTGATCTCTGATCCTGGACTCTTGCCAGGTTCAGCCTGCAGGACAAGCACTGTCCACCTGCAGGACCAGATTGTGGCCGGCCAGCCTGGTGCTCCCATACCACACTGTGATGAAATTGATTGTCCCGACATGGATGGAATTTGTTCCAACTGGGAGTTTTACCTGTTTTCTGTTGAGATTAAGACCACTCTTGTTGGTTGAAAGCACCGGGTGGTCAGCTCCTCAGGCTGAGAGAATTGCAGCTCCAGAGTTGTGTGCAGGTGACTGTAGAGCAGCCTCACTGTGCTCTCAGCATCTGCTTCTTGGTGTGAAAATGTTGCCTCCCAAGAGATTTATCCAGGGCAGAGAGGTGCACCCATGCTGATGGGGCATGCCCTCCAGGGCCCTCAGGGCTGGTGTGGACAGGAGCAGGACTTGACCATTTCCTTCTCTGAACCAATTTTTAACATTTACATTTTACCAGAAATCAACTTTGAGTTCCTCAAGAAAGTGCTATGCCAAAGCTACTTGTTTCTGAAATTTTTCCTTCAGTATTACAGCTTAGTGAAGAAATTCAACCCTAGATAATTAGCTTTCTGGTTGAGGTAAAAGGTTTAAAGGAAGTAGATGATGCAGCTCTTTCCTGTGTGGAGAGAGTGTAGTCACTATCATAAATGCTGCTGGCAGCCCTGGCTTACACTTCTTTTCTGAATTTTAAGAGTTTTGAATTCTTTTATCTGAGTGCATCTCAGTGATGCTCAGGAAGTGCTTTTGAGGTTTCTGGTGAGTGTGTTGTGACATCAGCTTGCATCACACATGTGTCCACCCTCGTTTCACTCAGCATCCCTGTGCTCTGTGTGCAGCCCCCAAGGACCAGAGGAGAGTGGAGAACAGAGTGGTGGGAGCAGCCTCAGGCCCAAAGGAAACAGCCCTTCCAGGATCCTCAGTGGGCAGACCACCTTTGTGCAGAAATCTCATCCCAAAGAAGCCTCATCCTTTTGTTAACATGGCAGCAGCCAAACCAGCCATTCAGAAGGCACCCTCAGGCTTCAGGGGCCGCATCCCCAAGGGGCCCTGGCTTGGGGAGGCCCCAGCAGGCACCTCGGCTTCCAGGAGGGCAGGACCAATGCCAGTTCCTCTGGCAAGCAATTCCAAAAAATCACCGTGCTCTGCAGCTTCTATGGGAGCCATGAGGAAACCTGTGGTGACTTCGGTCCCCACAGCTTCTCTGGCCCCTGGAAGCCTCAGGCCTGTGGGACCTGCCCTGTCACAGCCAGAGTCACAAATTCAGCAAATTATAAGATGCTCCTTGAAGGAGATTCTATGGAAAAGGTGGGCTGTTCTCCTGTATCTCATAATGTGTGGAGGGGAAGGTCTTCCAGTCACAGTGTCATCTCAGGATTGTCCTGCTCTTTACAAACTGCAAATATAAGTGATTTATCTGGCCCCTTTTTCCAATCTGTTCAGAGTTTGTGAAAGTGGCGATTTAATCAGGACTGAAAATGAGGTAGGAAAAACTGCCATCTGCCTTGAGAAGATGTTTAACTTGTTCCAAATTACATATCATCGCTACAGGAGTAAATACTGCAGCATCATGCTCTGCCTCGAGGATCCTGAAAGTCAGGTGTGTGCATCAGGTGGGAGCATTCTGGTGCAGAAGTAATGAGCTGCCTGGTTTCTGCTAGCTGAGATTCACACGATACACCAGACACCTCAGGGTGAGACGTGTGTGTGCATCGCTGTCCTGCCTGTCTGGGTTTCCTGTGTGGATCTCATCACCACCTGCTCCTCTCCACTGGATGAGGCTCTCAACATAGCTGTAACCCATGAACACCACTCACTGGCTTTTCCGTGAAGTTGGAGCTCTGATCCCAGTGTACACAAGTGTCCCCTTTTCTAGCTCCAGACCATCTTTGCGCCCCCTTTTTGCACCATCCTTCAGCTGAGGGCTTCTTTCCTCATGCTTCGGACCGTGCCCTGCAGTTCTCAGCTTCGGCCTGTGGGGGGGGGGGGAGGATGAGCCCCTGGCCTGGCCTGGCCTGGCCTGGCCCTCACACCTCCTGCCATATGGCTGTTTTCTAGGGCTCTCTCCTTCAGCTCTCAACCCTTCCATGTTTTATTTATATGTTTTTAAAATCCATAGACTAACTAAAATGAAACCTGTGGAGATTTAATCTCATAATATTCTACTTAGTACATTTAAACACGATCCAAACACATTAAGGCATACATTCAAGTCTGGACCTGTTCTCAAAGTAGATTTTTAAAAAATCCATTGCCACACAACACATGAATGTTGGAATACTGAACCAGCATGGCTGCGATTTCTCTCATGCCCTGTGCTAGTGATGGCAAACACTTTAGAGCCTTCAGTGGTAAACAGCCCACTGCGGCACGTATGCCACAGGTTAGGCACCTCTGCCCTATGCTTCCTAATTACCCATTAGTCTTGGAATCAAACAGGTGTGAACAGAACCCCCATCACGTGAATCTGTGTCCTAATGTTCCTTATGACGAACATCAGAATGCATACCAAACACTGTCATCTGGCTTGTAATGATGTATTTTTTGAAACTATCTGTAAGCCTTTGCCTATAATTTTTTTTAAGGCTGAAAGTGCTACTTGTTGTGTTTAGAACCAGGATCCAGGGCTCTGGCTACACCTTCGTGGTTAGCAAGGCCTGGTGGAAGGGATGGAGCTCTTCTTGCTTTCTCCCTAAGTCCCTTTGACTTGGCTTTCACCTTGCATCTGGAATTTGTTTCCTGAGATGGCACTGGATGCTTAGCAAACTTGGTGCATTGCAGCATCGAAGTCAACTCTCAGTGGGGCTTGGCTGGCTCTTCCTTCTGAGGCTCCTGGGGAGCTGTGGGACCCCCGCAGGGTTGACCCAGTGCTGCCCTCTGAGCAGGGCTTGGGTCTGTGCCTGTGGCCCTTGCCCTCTGACAGAACTTGTGCTGCTTCACTTACCCACACCATTGCAAATTAGCACATAATTATCTGCTTTTCAACAGTGATGGAATGGTGATTGTTTACAGGGACTCTTCCAGCAAGTAGTTCATGAAGAAATCTCTCTGGAGGAACTTGTGAGAATGAAGCCAGAGGAACTGTTGTCTAAAGAGCTCTCCATGTGGAAAGACAGGCTGACAAAATCTGTGAGTACAGAGGGCAAATGATCCCTTGAGTACCTGGAGACTCAATTGTTCAGAACTACCTGCTCCTTACAGGGGGATGTGTGTTGTGCTTAGAACTCAGGGTTTAAGGCTTTGGTTTTGTGTTTATCATTTTAGGGGATCAGATATCAGCATAAAGGGCTGAATGACAGCAAGAATGGCATCATGTGGGGCCAGGAATTTAGCTCAGTGGTTCTACTGCCTGGCTCACAAGTTAAAGGTCCCAAGTTTGATCACTGGTATCAAAAAAAAAAAAAAAAAGGATGGCAAATATTTAGCTCTAACAAATTCTGCTCTAAGAGGGATTAAAAGCTACCAAGATTGGGATGTGAGCATTGGAGATTTTAGTGATTGTAGGGAGAGTAAGATCAACCCTTTCCAAATGCTTCCAGGGTCTGCAGTTGTGAGGCAAAACACTGAACTGAAAACAGTTGTATGTGGACATCTACCTGCGATGTTTGCCAGTGCCTGCGATCAGTGTGCCTTCTTTAGCAGTGTTCTTAATTTCATGAGACTGTGTCCTATGTGCTGTCATTTGGAAATGATTTGGAAAGAAAATGACCGGTCATTTTTTCTTTCCCTTTGAGGCGCAGCAGAAGTCAATATCTACTGTCCAAGTGAAGAAAACAGTGCCTTTCCCTGATGCCCTTAGCAACATGTTGGAGGATTCGACAAGTCAGCACTGGGCCCACCTTTTTGATCTAAACTGTAAAATATGTACAGGTGAGCACAGTCTGGGATGAACTCTGGGAATCAAAGAATATTTGACTGTGTTTGAAATCACTGATCTCCTAAAGATGATTGTATACAGGCCAAGATGAAACAGTGAAACAAAGAGGCAGGTGTGGTTTTCTGGAGTTTGCCCTCCCTTCTTCCTGTGCTTCTGATCCCTGTAAGAAGTCACTACCTGCTCACCACAAGCTGTGAGGGTGCTGGGTTTCTCATTGAGTCTGTCTTTGCATTTCTCAGGTCAGAGAAATTAGACTTAGCATCCAAGCCCAGAAGCTCTGCATCTGATCCAGTTCCTCACTTGTCTGAGGAAGGCTCTGCAGTGACTCTGCCCAAAGATGCCTCTGAGCCACACCTGGAAAGGGCCTCTGGTCCAACACCAGAGAGAAAGTATGTCCCTGAGCCTCTAGACACAGTTGTGCAGGGCTCTCCCCACCAGAAGGCCCCTCCAACTGCCCAGTCTCCTGTGGGGTTGGAGTGGTCACCACGGTCACAGTGTCAAACCGAGACCCCAGGACTGCTGTGGGTGGATCCTATACCCACCTGGACAGCACCTACATGCCTGAAGCCAAGCCAGACCTACTAAAGCCTGCACTTCCCTCTGTGACACTGCCCAAGTCCATAATTGCTAAGCCATCCCTGTCCCCCGACCCAAAACATTTGTCAGTTGTGCCATCCCCAAATGTCAGGTGGGTACGTGAGATGGGTTTGGAGCTGGCTGGGATCCTGTTGTTTCTTTGAGATGAACAAGGGGAAGGAGGTGATGAAGTACTTCAAGTCTGAAATTTACACCAGAATCCAGCTTCACACCCTTGGGATCCAAATGCCCAGTTTTTAGGATACCTAATTATTATATTGAAGGCACAGACTTTGAAAACTGAAATTTGAAGTAATGTGACTGTCATGATTTGCTGATTTGCTTATTTTCTTTGTCCAAGTATCTAAATTATTAAGACTCAAATAGTTTCTTGGCCAAGATAAGTTAGCAAAAGCACAGGGATTCACTTCTGCTTGTAAATATGTTGTCTCCACTCCTTTATGATTCCCATTGCACAGAAAGGTTGACAGTGCTTTCCTGTGGATTTCTTTCATAGCATTTCAGAGTCATGGTGCCCCTGGATAGGAGGCATGGCCCTGCCTTTGTCTCACCTCAGCAGCGTTTAGAAAGGCCTCATTAACATGCAGAGTGTAGGCAAATTTGTCACCAAGGCATGTCCTGTCTCTGGGAGCTGTTTATCTCAGTGAGGTGAGAACCATGGATGTGTTTGTGTGTGCATGCGTCTCCCAGGAGACCCCATGGGTGAGTGAAACATGGACACTGTGCACACCCATATCTGCCGTGATGACACTAGCCATGGTGAGTTCTGCCAAGTAACTGGTCAGTCCTCCTGGCTAAGGCGAATCTTCATTCTGTGCTCACAAAGCAGGATACACACATGGCATGGTGGCCCTGAGGGTGTCCCTGGTGGCCACAGGGGACATCACAGCCCCCCAGGCATGGCAACTCCTAACCCTTGGAGGTGTTTAGCCATCTGCATCACATACAGGTGTTGCCACTTTCCTGGAAATAGTTGTGGTTTTCTTGAGTTGGGAGGGTTTGTGCCTTTAAATTTCCCTGTTATTCCCTCTGTAAATATCACAGCTTCCCTGTTCATTTACTGAGTGCTTCCTGTTTAGGACTTGCCATATACAATTCACATCAGTGGAAAGATTTCTCCAAAGACAGTGTGGGATTATGTCAGCAAGCTCAAGTCTTCCATGTCCAAGGTATCTGCAGCCCTAGCATGGCCTCATCCTTGATGGGCTAACACTTGAATTGTCAGCCTAGAACCCACTACACATAGAAAACACTGTGATTAAGTTGATGGAGACACTGGAACTCGGGGTGTTTGAATCTTATGCTGCTAGGAGTTTGCTTCTGATCTCATATAATAATGTGTGTGTGTGGCTTTAGTAAAAGCACATGCATCACATCTCCTTTCTCATGATGGCAGGAGAGGGGACACTGAGGTGCTTGAGCTCAGCTGCTGCCCTCAGCCCTTCAGCTGGCCTTGTTTCCTGGGACCCCTGTGACTGAGCTGGGCTGGGGCTGGGGTTTGTGTCAGGCTCACAGAAGGGGACGATCCCCAGGTCTCCTGCCTAATTCCCCCTCCAGGAGGGGCACGGGTGCCCTTACAGGTCTGAGGCATGTTTGTTGTGATCCCTGCATGTGGAGTAGCAGCTTTCTCTGTGAGGGTTGTTGGCAGCCCCAGTGAGGGCTCTGCCCCATGCTGTGTCTTGCAGGAGCTCTGTCTGATTTGCTTCCACCCTGCAACCTGGGAGGAAGAGGGTGCCTATACATTTCTTTACTCCTACTTTCACAGCTGCGGCCACTTTGGGGTTGTAGTGAACACTAACAGGTGGGTCAAGGAACTCCTACTTTATCCCACTGAGTGGTGGGGACCCTGTGCCACACAGTCTCTTGCCCTTGGTGGGACCAGGTAAGTGCCCATCTCTGGGAGCTTGTTAGGCAGCTCTGGTCCCCAGTGCCCTCCCCACAGAGGCAAGATCCTTCTGGGATGTCACAGGTAGACCTGCTGCACCCACCAAAGCATGGGGAGTGAGCATTACAGGGCTTGCTGTCCTCTGTGATGTGGGGACATAGCCCCCAGAGTACATTGATAGTGGGAAAACTGTCTCAGAAGCTTTAGGAGAAGGATAGGGCACACTCCTCTCACTGAGTCTCAGATCTACCCAGAAGGTGAGGAGCAGCCACAGGGAAGGTAAAGGTGCATTCACCTGGTGTCTGGGCCACCCTACTCTCCAGGTGGACAGTGCAGGATGAGCCTGGGTCATTGTGCTCCTGGGTCATTCCTGCTCCTCTCCTGGGGATCCTCTCACAGGGGTCGATTCTTGGGGACAGGTAACACGGTGGTGGCATCAAATAGCATCTCTCAAAGGGTTGCCTCAAACTTGCTGCTCGGTGTGCATAACATCTTGCATTTTTGGCCAGCTACCTTGTGCATGGTCATTCCTGCAGAAAGTACAGTTTAAAGCATTATTTATGAATTATCCTAAAGCACATTCCAACCTTGTCCTGGGTTGGGGTGATTCTGAGGTAGTTCCAATCCCTTGGAGTGGAGCTGTTCTTACCCCGGAGAAGTGACTCCAACTTAGGGCCTGAATTGAAGTGACTCCTTGGCCATGACATCCCCAGAGGACTGGTTTTACCTCAAAACCAATGTTTTCACACGATGAATGACCTTTAAAGTGGTCTCTGCTAGAGGTGGAGGCTAACAGGAGCACTTGTGTACAGCCTGGATCAGTGATGGCAAACCTTTTAGAGCTTTCAATGATACAAACAGCCTGCTGCGGCACACGTGCAATAGGTTTGCCACCACTAACCTAGACCCTGCACCTCAGTGCTTTGGTCCCTGTCACCAGGTCCCAGAAGAGCTCCTGCTGCAGTTGGGCAGACTTCTCAGAACTCCACATGCCACTAACACTGCCCCACTCTGGCCTGGAGCCTTTCCTGATAGTGTGCAGAGGGGCAGGTGGTGGGACACTCCCTCGTGCTTCCTAGGAGGCATGAGCTCCACTCAGAGGGCCAGAACCAGGGTACTTCCTTGAGGGAACAAGCGTGCTCTTTGGTCCTTGGATCTGTTTGTCCTGCCCCAGAAGGAAGCGTCTTCAGAGCATCATGCAGCCACCTACTCCTGAGAAGATGGGTGCACAGGGGGTACTCTTGGTGAGGGCCTCCCTGCTCAGGGCTGAGTGTGCAGCACACAGTTGTTTTGCTAGGGCTCTGTGCCACATTTCTTCTCTTTGTCCGAGCTGTGACCAAACTCCTGAGGGACTCTGTGGTCTTGCTGCTGCCCTAGCCCTCACCCGAACCCACTGTGTTAGCTGGAAACACAGGATTCACAGGTTTGTTTTTCTGTCCCCAAAGCTTGGAATTGTTTTGCAGCTACTTCTGCTTGAGAAAAAGCCTGGAGGTGCTCAGACTCCCAGTCCAGTGTGCTATTCTTTTTATTAAATGATGGAGTGGGCTCAGTATTTCTGCTAATTGTGGCCTAAATGGGCACCAGTGTCCCCACCATGCCAAGAGTCTGCAGTTGTTTTGGTGGAGTTGGGTGGGAAAGCCTGACCAATCTGTACCAGCAGAGGGAGTCTCTTTTGCATTGCTTGACCAGATAACCCCAAGCCCCTGACAAACAGCCCAGGTCCCTGCAACTTGGAGGTATTGGTGTCTCATCCTTTTCTTCAGAGTTGCATTACTATCATGGCTGATGCCTCCTCTAGGTCTGGAAAACACTCAGAGGTTCACATTACATCATGAACATAGTGAAGTTTCAACACTGGGTTTGGTGTCCATGGCACCATGTCCACCAGCACCATCCCGGGGCATAGAGTAGGTCTGTGCAGACACCTGGAGAACATGGAGAGTCTATTATCCTTCCCCAGGAAAGCAAATGGCTCCTGACTTCCTTCAGCAACAGAGATACTGAAGAAAAAAAAACCCATTCATTAAATCTACTGCAACATGATGAGTACCAGGCTCTCCAGTTTGATTCAAGATATACACTGTGTCAGGCACAGCACAAATGATGCTAGTGTCATTTATTTAATTCCCAATAATCATATGCATACGCCAACTTCCTGCAGGCTTCCACTCCAGCCAGATCAGGCTATTAAAGGACCATGGGTGGACTTAAGTGTTTACCTCAGCCCATTTCTAAAGGGGAGCTTTTATCTCCCAGTCACACCTTGGCACATCATGCATAAGGGACAGGGCCACTTCATAGGTATGCACTTAGCCTTTACTCCCTTTGCATCCTTCATGGTTCATACTCAGTCACACTTCAGCTGTATTATACAAGGTCAAGCTCATTACTGTTTTCATTTTGAATATATATTGGAGGCTTTGTAGCTGTATGTGACAGGTATTTCTTTGGGGTAAGGTGACCTATCTACACAGGAAGAGATGTGTGCAGCCCTCTTTCTTATTTCCTCCATCTCCATCCCTCTATGCCATCTGTCTGTCCACTACAGGCATTACTGTGAACACCAGTGCACCTAGCAACTGTGTCTCCTCATGCCTACAAAGGGTGCTTATTTCCTACTGTGCAGGACATTATTTTTGCATGTAGCCTCAATTCTCCTGCTACAGCCTGTATGGAGAAAGTTGGGCCAGGCTGTTCAGGAGACCTTGCCTTGCTCTGGTCCAGGGGTCTGGCACGTTCCCACACAGGAGCAGAGGGCAGGTTTGCAGGGTCCCTGCTTTTGAAATGCCCAGAAAAGCACTGCTTACATTTCAGGTTTAGTCTTTCTTTTGGTATCCTTGATTTATTATGAATATAGGGGTACAGGGACCATTCATGCAATACACATGTTCCTGGTCTATGTTACATCAACTTAGAATATTTGCAATGATCCTATGTGAAGCAATAACTATCTTTAAATACCTTTAGCTAAACTTCCTTCTCTGTCTCCTCCTGTGATATGCTCTTTTCCACCAGTTTCTGATGTCTCCATGCTTTGGGTAAGCACTGTAATTCTAAAGACTGGAATATCAAGTAGAGCTCTTCATAAGTTAGAGGTATCTGAACTTTTTCCTAACCATAAAGTATTCCACCATTCAGACAGCTCTGTTTTCTCCAGTTATTGTAATTCTGACACCAGGTACTAGTGAATTTTCTACATGGCTTGTGTTTCTTCGGTCACTATAATGACTTGGAATTGCCCTTCCTTAAACATTTACTTTAATATGTTCAGCCTAACTCATATGCTGCAGTTCCTACACAAAAAGCCACAGTGGCTGTTCCTTCTTGCCACATGGAAAGAAGAAAATGAAGAACCCAATTAAGCTTTTTCCCCCCACAATGCCCTAGTATAGGGCTGGGGATGTGGCATGAAGGATGAGCATTTGCATGGCCTCTGTGAGGTCCTGGATTTAATCCCCTGTACAGAAAAAAGGGGGTCCTTTATTCACATCCCTATGACCTCCCCAACAATGACAGATGTCTCCACATGGCCTCAGCCCATCGCCTCTGCACTACTGCTGGAGCTTTATCCAGAGCTTTTAAAACATAGAGCATTCTTACTAATGTTGAGGTGAGCTAGGCTGAGAATCGAGTCCTTGTGGCTTTGACTAGGGAGTACATGTCACCCATCCTTTCAGGCCGCTGCTGTCAGGCACAGGGGCTGTGCTGGTGGGTTCTGGGACTGAACTACCTGGTCTTTTGCAATCAGCTGCTCAACTGTTCATTTGCTTTTGCCCCAGAATCTCTTCCTCTCCCTATTAAAAGTTCCCCACCCCACTCTTTAGTAACAATTTTGGGGGGGGGTACCGGAGATCCAACTCTGGTCCTTGCCCTTGCACAGCAGGTGGTGTAACCATTGAGCTAAATCCTCAGCCCCTGTAACATTAATTTTTGAAGGCTGAAACCTAGACTTTGATTTAAAACTTTCACTAACCCTTGCTTTTCAGGCCTTGAGTCCCCACGTCCAAATTTCTTCCTTGGGTTGGTCATCAGTGAGAAACAGAAACTTTGGCCAGACGCTGGGGAGCTGGACAAGATGTGGGAGAAGCAGACCCCCCTGGATGTGCCAGGCTGTCACAGCCTCCCTGCACCCCCACAGCTGAAGAGGAATCCCCTCAAGAACCAGCTGTGCTCTGCATCTGAGGGCTCCCCACTGCCTCAGTCCCCACCACCTCTGCTGCCTCTTCCTGAGGCCGCTGTGTTGAAAACACTGTAGTCCCTCCTCCCAGCTGCCACTTGCAGTGTTACCACTCCTGCTACAGCAGAAGCAGCCCCCCAACCCGACAGCCTCATCTGTCACTTTGAGGCCTTCAGACCCAGCCTCACCACTATACTTCATCCTGCAGACTCTCTTTAAAGGGACTTCATTCCAGGGCCCTCCCCAGGACCCCACAGGCCTAATTCCAACTCCCCAGTGGGACCAAAAATCCCAGGCCCAGGAAGGGGCATCAGGAGCACTGCTCCTTGATCCCATTGTTCAGCAATTTGGCCACTTCACAGACAGTGACCCCCAGGAGGAGGATGATGACAGGCCTTATGACCTAGAGGAAGGGTATAACATGCAGCCAGCCTTTGACCCCTGGCTCACCAAGAGGGGGAAGTAGCATGACTGGGGAAAGGCCCCGGACGCTTTGGAAGAGGCAGCAGTGGCCTATGACCCGGAAGTTGAGACCTTTCTGGAGGCGGCCAGTGTGATGGTCACTGAGCTGCCCAAAATGATGTGCGCAGATCTCACGGAGAGGCCCAGAGACCACACCGGATACTGGCCCCCTCCCGCTTGGGGGCATCAGAGAATTCAGGATGACTTAGTCATTACTGGCCAAAGGGGAGCTGTTCCCCCAGGAGCAGAGGGCCGTAGACCAGAGTCGAGAAGCCCTTGGCACAAACCATACCTCATACTCAGGGCACAGTAGAGACCCCCGGAAGGCCAGGCACCTAGGTGACAGCAGCTGGTATGAGGCCCTCGCCAGAGCACCACGGTAGTAGGAACATCTCGTGAGGGGTGGGGGCTCTGAGGGAGGCCCTGCCAGCAGGGAAGACAAAGCCACATCCAGAATTCATGCCCTCCAACACCCTGTGTCTGGCTGCCCTGCCGAGTGATGCCACATGGGCTCAGGGGCAAGCTGCTGCTCAGTGAGGGCACAGCAGGTCAGCCAGTATGGGCGTCCCCTCCAGCAGCGCCTGGACCGCACGTGCTGACCTCCTGAGGGCCAAACAAGAGCCTGCTTGCTCTGTGGCTGGACGTTTGGGCCTCACATTCACTCTGCAGCCAGGTCCTGGAGGTGACTGGTCCTGTGGATTTGGTCCCCATGTGTGGGTTCAGTGCCAATCAGATAGACGGGGTAGTCTGGTCCCCTCTAGCCTCAGGCTGGGGCTCAGGAAGCCCCTGCCTATGAAGAAGGGGCCTCACTGGATGCCAGGCCTCCCGGGGCTACACTCCAGAACACATAGCAATAAATTTGTTGTTTGTAAGTTATGCAGTGTAATGTATTTTGTCATAGCAGCCTATGGCACTGCTGAATTTTATTGGAATTGATATATCAGTTTGGGACTAAGCAACTTCTTAATCCTATAGCTCTTACCCCTCCATAAACTTGGCATATCTGCCCATCTGGATGTCTTTTTATATTCTTCTCCACGTGGCTTGTGGCTTTTTATTGCTCTCGTCTTTTACGTCTTCTGCTAACCTAGCACAGTCATGTGCTGCTGATGTCATTTCTGTCTCAGATGGACAGTGTGTGCAACGGTAGTTGTGTGGGTTATAACAAAGCTGAAAACATCCCACTTACAGATGGTCTGTTACTGGTTTGTAAAAATACAATTGAAGTTTTCAATTTTTACTGTGGAATAATAATAGAGTTAGAGGAATCTCTAAGTCGTGTGTAGTGATGCAGGCTGTAATCCCAGCACTGTGGGAGCCTGAGGCAGGAGGATCACAAGTCAGAGCCCAGCCTGGGCAACTTAAAAAAAACCTGTCACAAATTTTTTTTAAAGTGCTGAGGATGTAGTTTACTGCAAAGATCCCGGTTCAATCCCTTATACTGTACAAAAGAAAAGAAGGAAAAAGAAACAAGTGAAAACAGTGAGCAGGCTCCCGCGGCCCCTGAGCCAGTCCCCCAGTGCTGTATTTTCCATAACTGCAGTGAATCTGAGAACCCAGAACTTGGCCACTTATGTGTGTTCAGCCTGTGCCATCTGTCACATATGTGGAATCAGGCAGCCACCGCCACCCTCAGGCACAGCTGCCTGCCTGCCACCCCTGACAGCCTTGTCCCTGTCCCTATGAGGCTGTCACTTCTGTACAGCTTTCACGTGGATCTGGGAGAGGAGCATCCTCCAGCCCCGGAGATACTGAGCATCAGGATCAGAGGGTGGATAGCAGGAGGGGCCTGACAAGAAGAAGACAGGTCACGGAGGGGACAGAGGGGCAGCTGATAAGAGGGGGTGGGCCTGGGCTGCCCCGGGCACCACTGGCATTCCATGGGTGCCCAGGACTTTGTGGCGGTGGCCATGCAGGTATGGTCAGCAGGAGGAGCAGGGCCTTATCACAGCTGCTGAGGCACCAAAGACTCAGAGCAGCCCTTCCTAGGTGGTGGTCACACAGCTGGGCTGGAGTCCACCTGGGAGGGGTAACAGGCATGGGGATTTGATTTCCCTCAGAGGGAAGGTGGCCCTCACCTGCCCCTGGGCAACCCTGGTGTTGGGTGTGACAGGGCTTGTGGGCGTGGCCCTGTGGGCCTGACCAGTGACAGGGGTGTGGCCCTAGGGCAGGACCTTTGAGGGTGTGTTTCACACCGCAGAGCCAATGGCTGGGCACGCTGGGTGGGACGTTGGGGGTGCAGGCACAGTGCGTGGCTCTTAGACATTTCCACCCTAAATCTGCTGCAGGCAGTGTCAGCTCCATTTCCTCCAAACGTCTGCCTCCTCACCAGGATCCACTCCTGCATCCCACCAGGTTTCATCCTGCACGTCCCCACAGCGTCTGCCTGAGCCTGTGTGCACTTGTTCTCTGTTCCTGGCGGGCATGCCTGTATGAGAGCTGTGTGGAGCACTGTTAACTCAGTCCAGCTCTCCCTTCAGCAAGAAAATGCCACTAAGGCCCAGGACGTAGATGTGAATTCATTCCATTGCCTTCTCCAATAGGAGGTGCTCCCTCCACGCCAGATATTCCTGTGGCCCTGGGAGCACCAGTAGGTGAGTCAGGTGCTGCAGTGTCCTTTCAGGGCCTAAAGCTCATCCTTGCTGTCCAGGGCTCCCGCCCCACACCTTAGCCAGCAGAGCCCCTTTCACCTCCTGCCTGTGGTATAAGGTTCTAGAGAGCATGGCATACAACAATGTCAATCAGAGTCTCGTGTCCTGCTGAGTCTGAAACTTTGGGGCCATGTTTCCTAGACATTTGGTCCCAAAAGTTTGTAATATCCAGTTAAATATTGACCATGTCTCAAAGTTACAAATTTAACTAAATCAGTTAGAGTATTTAGTAAGTAAATAGCTATTGGAGGGAAAAAATGTACTATTACTTAAAATACTGTGCAGTCATGTCCACAAGTAAATGAAATTGATAGTGTGATGTTCTGTGAATTTCCCCTGGAGATGTAAAACAAATTGCTGCTCATAATTGCAAAGTTGCCAATCAAAAAAAGAAGAACAGGAGGAGGAGGAAGGGGAGGGGGAGGGGGAAGGGAGGGGAGAGAGGGGAGGGGGGAAGAAGAATACTGAGTGGACAAGTCCAGCTTGGCAAATAAATGACTTCCACAACAGCAGAGACCTTACTGGTACCTGTCCTATCAAAGCCACCACCCCCACTTACCAAGCTTCTGTTCTCTAGGGTTCTAATTTACATAGCAAAAGGAAGGCCCAGAATCCTTGGTTAGAAATGTGTGTTTATGTGCAGTTGGTTCTCACCCTTATGGAGAATTCCACTCCTCTCAGCAAAGGAAGAGGCAAATAGCTCTGTTTGGCCCCACTCTGGGACAGAGCCTCAGCACCTGGAGAGGACTCACAGTTGATGAGACCCCACAGCCTACCACAAGTGGCCCTTACCTTGACTAAAGCTTGGAGACCATTGCTCCACCCCTTCCTCTGGCTCTTACATTCTTTCTGCCTCCCTCTTCCATGGTGATACCTGAGCTTTGGAGGGGGTGTTATAAAGTTATTGCTTTCATCAAGAGCTGCATGGGGGTGCTGCTGTGCCACAGCACAATACCTAGCACATTGGCAGCCACTTAGTTTTAGAATGGCACAAACATCAAGAGCACATGGCTTCAGTTACCAGGAAAGAGCCTAGCTGATATGCATAAACATCGCACACATCCGAAGTAGCTCCTTCATTTTGTCCTTTTTCTGGCACTGCAGTTGAACAAAGGGCATTTGCACTGAGCTAAATCCCTGACCCCTTTTTATCTTTTGTTTTTGACAGAGTCTTTGAAATCACTGTGTTGCCCAAGCTGGCTCGAACATCTAATCATCCTGCCTCCATCTGGGATTACGGGCTTGTACACCATATCTGTCACGAATACCTACTGGTACGTGCTTTGAAGTTTCTGTTATATTGTCCTCATTCTCTGGGAAAGAAACACAACCTGTGATTCCACTGTGGCTCCAGGGGCATCCACAAGCAGTAACCAGTGTGGCCATAGCCCTTCTGTTTTGCACCATTTTTCAAATGTGCTTGGGACAGGCAGCTTTACTGGCTCCCATTTGGCCCAGCTTGATTTTGCATCCTTTATTATCTATATGCTCAGATGGAATTCGCCCAGTCTGGTGTGCAGGTTATGCCCCAGCCAGCACCTGCCAAGAGTATTCTCTTCTAGGGAGCAAACATAAACATTCTGCTTCTTTGGAGGAGACAGCTCCTCACCCACTATAAACTTGGTTCTCTTCATCTGTGACCATCTTGAGATCTGGATTCTCCAGTAGCAGTTCTGTTAGATTAGGTTCATGCTGCCTGGGGACAGACTTTTGCTTCTGAGACAGTGCATTGCAATACTTATCACCAGGACCTAAACAGAAAACCCTTTCCTTTACAATCGCCCCTCTCCCCTGACTTTTTGCTAGGCCTCACAGAACTGACTGCACCTTGATTTTGACAACTTTTCTGCTTTCCTTATATTCTTCTCTTATCCTGTGAGAGCTTCTCTGAAGGGATTTGTGATTCATCATACTGTAGTTACATTTGTCTTTGTCCCTCATTTCTGGGATGTTGCAACAGCTGTTGGTCTTGTCTAGTCCATATTGAAGGGGAAGAGTTGTGTTATTAAGAGTCTGTGCTATGACCCTGTAATCACGCATGATCAACAAGGAGGCTTAGGAGTTATTCTTGGGCTAAGTTTACCTGGAGTATATCTGGTTTTTTCTTCCTCTTTTTTAATGAAAAACATCCAAAAAGTTTGACAATAGGTTAGGAAAAGTTAAATTGCTGACACTAAGCTAGTTTGCAGTTTTTTTTTTTAATTTGGTCCTTTGCTGTAAAAATGCATGTAGTTTTAAGGTCAATTAATTATTAACTGTAATAAATGTGCCAGTAGCTCAGATGTCTTTTCTCTTCTCTGTTTGAGGCAGGACCTCACTATGTAGTTCAAGCTGTTCTTGAACTCACTATGTAGTCCAGGCTGGCCTCAAACTTGTGGTGATTCTCCTGCCTCAGCCTCCCAACTGCTGGGATTACAGGCATGAGCCACCACTCCTGCCTCATATGTTGTTTTCTAATGAGAGATGTAGCAACCCTGAACCTCAGTTTTTCTCATGTTTACATAATACAGATATTCTAAAGTACTGATAAAGCTAGAATAAAGCCTCACTTTTTATCTCACAAATGGCTGATACCAATATCTGCAACTATGAGGTGTCTGTTGTAGAATGTTTTAAAAAGTGACTAACTGGTATAATAGTTCTCACCATAATTATTACATAGATAATGTTTATTCTTTAGAAATTATTATCTGATGAGAGCTAAGTTAAAAATAGTTTCCTCATACTCATTATATTTAGTAAATCAGCCTCAAGAACCTGTTCTCTGATAAGCACTGGTTTAAGGCTTTTGCATATATAAATCTGCTTTCAGGGAGTCCTTTTTAATATGAATTTTATAATGATGAGTAAGGGATGACCTCTGGCTGAAAGTTTTCCAACATGAATTACATTCACAGGGCTTCTCTGCAGTATGAATTTGTTGATGTACAAGAGTAGGAGCTCTGTCTAAATATTTTCCTGCCTGTATTATATTTGAAGGGTTTTTCTACTGTATGAATCCTCTGATGTTGAGCAAGAGCTGCACTTTGGCCAAATGACCTCAAACATTCTACACATTGGTAAGATTTCTCTCTAGTATGAATTCTTTGATGATTTCTTAGGGATGAGTTACACCTGAATTTTTCCCCATAATCTTTGCATTCATAGGGTCTTTTGCATGTATGTGTTCTTT